GCTAATTTTTTCTATATATTTTTAGCTGTCCAATTAATTTCTTTCTATTTCTGGTAGAGACGGGATCTCGCTCTTGCTCAGGCTGGTCTCGAACTCCTGAGTTCAAACAATTCACCTGCCTCAGCCTCCCAGAGTGCTAAGATTACAGGCGTGAGCCACCCCGCCTGGCCTACCTTATGTTTTTCAAAATTGGTAGTTTCTTTTCTCCACTAGCACGGCCCCTCAAAAAAATTCCAGTGATCCTTTCCTCTTAAGATGGTTTTGCATAAAGTTATTCTGATATATTCAAGACCCACTGGATTCAGATTTTTTGTTCAATTAGATGATGTCATATTTTAAAAGTTATTTTCAGGAGAAAATAATGTTAGAATGTCTTGATATCCTCATCTTTTTCCTGGTACTATCTACAGAGATTACTTCAGCTTTTCTAGATAATATATTAAACAGTATAAACATTCAGACTTGGCAGGTGATACTAATGCTTTATTATCAGATGCCAAAGGGTATCTTTTTAGTCTTTGTCAGTAATGACATTATCTTTTATTCTGATTCTTCAATTGAAGGTGTCATTTCTTTTCCTACATTTTGAAGTAGGAAATGCTTTTAAATATGTTTTCAAATGAAAATTAATACGTAGGCTCACCACACCTAGACCGAAGATTAAGTTAAATGAAAAGAGTGAATTTTAAGTAGACCAAAATTTGTGATTTCATATCATAGTAAATTGATTAGTAATTTATTTCAGAAAAGAGAAGGCAAACAGTTGGATTGGCTAACTAGAACCATTGTTGAGTTGAACTGAAAGTTCTGCCTCTAACTTGCTGTGGAAACATTCTCCTTCAATTGTTAGCTCTCCCCTTCACACTGCTTAAAACTCTAAATTGTATAGCAAATCATCAAACTAAACTGGTAAAGTTTGAAATGCAGTCTCTTGAAGGATATTTAAAACTATGCTTCCACAAATAAAGGAATGATGAATTGCTGTAATAGAGAAAAAAAAATCAAAAGGCAAGCAAGAAAAAAGCCAGCAACAGTTCAAATTTAAAATAAAATTATGAGATACTAAGGCAAGGAAGAATCAAAAGTGAATCCCAGGAGTAAGGACAGCTTGGGAGTGGTGTAGTGAAAAGAGCACAGCCGTGGGACAAAACAAAGCTAGATTTGAATGTAAACTCTGCCACAGGCCAGTTATTTAACTTCTTTCTGCATTTGCTTCTAGTTGCTGTTCTTTGGAACATGTTTCAAAAGAGTAGCATTTCTTCTTCAGTTCAGGAGGCCACTGATAACCTTTCCAACCCCAGTCAAAATGTGAAATGTCCTGGAGCCAAATATTTTATAGTTTAGTTGAAACACACTCATATCAGTGAGTTAACATTCCAAAGCTTTGCCTCAAGTTTAATATTGCCTGTGTTCTTACAGTTTCATTTTTCAAAGTTTCTACTGACTGTAGATGAAAAGGTAGACTTCTAGGTGACTATATCTTGTGCCCTCAGGGAAGATGTTGGGAAAGCGTATCTCTCCTTAAAGAAAGTACCCATCTTACTTTACTCTTTGATCAGTAAAATGCCTTTAGCCAAGACAGAGCCTTTCATCAAATATTATGCAAATAATTCCTGAGGAAACTATTTTTTGAACATAGTAGGTACTTTATATATATATATAT